TATAAACCTTACTGATGTAAGCTATATGGCGTATGTAGTCTAGGCCATTATAAAGTGGGGAGGTAAGCCGCTTGATCGGACAGATTCGCCAAAGAAATGTAAAGCACGGAGGGTCACTGCTAATAAAAACAAAAATTATGTTAGCCAGTTATATTCCGCTATTCTCAACAGGGTATCGCATGATTTCCTAAACACCCACGGACAACTGACTTAAATTTCTTTTAGCCATATCTCTTGGAGACATTATTAAGACAAATGAAGGTGTACTGTATTGGCAGGTTCCGCCAAGATGCAATAAACCAGCAGGAAGGCTAATGTTTGACGACGAGACATGCGGTGTGATTGGGACGGGCGCACGTGAGTGAAGCGGGATCTAATGAATTTGTTGGATAGGGTTGAAGTGAAGATGCCGTTGGGGAAGAACATGACGGAAGCCAATCGCGATAAGCCGATCTCTATAGGGTTCGATAAGAGCTTGTACATAACGTGCGAGAGCCGGCAAACCGAGTAAGTTACTTCGTGAAGCACAGTTGGAAGTTGTGATTCTTCCGAAATCGAGTTTGCAGCATTGATCCTGTGGGTGAGTAAAGTTTTCGTAGAAACTAATCTTAAAAGCCACGACCCGAATATCGCAAATAAAGTTACGGAGAATGCAGTGAAAGATGGCGCTATAGCAAGATTCTCTCCATGCCAGTGGTGAAGATAATTCTGTTGGATAATACGATGGCGTAAGTTGATATGTCCTAAAAAAGCGTGGGCGTGCAATTTGCTTTGAAGTAGAAGCTCCTGTAGCGTTTAAACGTCGTAGATTGTCGATGTGGGGTGCGATTACCTTTTGGCTTCTCTACAAACTTGATCCTTGACCATCGTCTATAGCACTCATCACAGTGCGTTTATTGGTCTGCTTTCATTAGTTAATAGTTTTCTCGTGAGCTTATCACCTCACTTCAACCACTCTTCGGGTAGTGCTTGAACCTGACGAATCTCTTTACCCATTCTGAGGGGGCATCTAGGAGGCCTAAGAGCCATGTGAGTGTTCTGTACTTGGTTTAAAGCAGAGCAACTGGTTAGCAAGGAACATTATCCTCTGAGCTTTCTGCACGTAAGGTGCATTAGTCCGCAGTAACGACGGAAAAAGCCGTACTTTGTTAGGAATTGCTCGAGAAAGAAGTTGAGCAGTGCTCCTTGTCTCTTCAGACAGAGCCTCATGTCCGGAATGACGTCTCTTCCACTTCAGGCGTGCCGGGTTGAACACGACTTATTCTACTAACCCTGGAAAAGTGCTTTTCCCAAATTTGTTGGGTAGCTTTTGTGGGTTGCCTTTCTTTTTTCTTAAGACTCCAAGGTATGATGTCTGCTAAAATTAAAGCGATTGTTGCACTAACTATACGGTAAGCTTTGGAGACCCGTAGAACAAGCATTTTTTGAGATTTTCAAAAGATTTCTTAGATTTTCGCTTGCAGGTGATTTTGACTGTATGGTATGTTTAAATTGTGCCGTAACCAATAGATAAATGTAACGGAAAAATCGAGCCGTAGCACAATTCGCTTTAGTAACGGTATCATTGGTTTAGAAAAGTGTAATGTCCAGTTCTTTATTAAGAACACAGTGTCAGTATATTTGTATGCAGATCTCTATAAGACAGCTTCTGCTAGGTACACAAAAGAAATGTGCAAAGAACAATGTGCACCCAACTCCAGACGGCAATACGAGTCGCTGAAATTATACGAATATGAAAACAACGGTAATTATGTGCTACCGTTTTGTCATATTCTATACGGTATCATCAGATTTCACATGCCTACATATCCATCGCTGTCTCTATAGCACGTTGACTCGCTGTATCCAAAAGCCGGTGGACACTTTCGATTTGTTCTGTCGAAATAGTTGATTCAAATCCAAAATACGTGTTCGGATACCCCTGTATACAGAAAAACGAACCCCAATGTTGGGGAAGACAGAAGCACAATGTTACGAGGCGCAACGATTAGCGAACGATAGCTGGTGTAAATAGGCAAAATGTCGGACGCAATATTGTATCCTTAGACTGCATATCCGCAATAATTATATCTTTAAGGGTATATCTTCCCCGAGGCCCTCTACTAACATACTGCAATAAATACAGTAATTTTAAAGACAAATCGGCCTAAACCACCGGAGTCCGTTCGCCATACGAACTCGGACATCAGTGGTGGATCTTGACAATGGTACCCATACTTCAGAGATGCATGTCTGTTTAACTGCCATAGAACACTTACCAATTTCATGCAGCATTCTGGATGCATGAAAAACTGTCGTGATGCTTGGCAGATGTAGACAGCCTCAGATATTTACATAAGCTCGCTGGTCAAGGGCCCTCCAGAGATATTATTATGATGCTTCATAATAATGGTGAAACTGGTAACTATCCATGGCACTATGCCTTATAAAAGATCGAGCAATCAGCATATTTTTGATGCCTTTAGAATTGGCGATCTGCATTCGATTTATGAATGTGTGTGTGAATGAGTGAAAATCCTGTGTCCTGTACAATGAAGTATGTGGCGCTTTATGCTTTACAGCCAACCTTCAGTAGATATCGCATCTGTAACCTAAAACGGTCGACGTAATATTTGATGTATACATCAACAATGCCAGGAGGTACCTTGCATCGTTGATTATTAATTAAGAAATTTGTCGAAACGAGAAATGTCACATAAAGAAATATTCTCTGAGAATTGGAATCATCGGGGACTGGAGACTTTCTCTGCTATCGTATTCTATAAACACTAGAAAAGCATCTTTAAGCATTCGATATTTGCGATGCATTGGGCTATGCGTTAGTCCATTTCAAGTCACACCGGCGGCTTCTGTGAGAAATACGAGCTGAATATGAAGACAAGGAATTTATTTACCCAAGATGAAGAACTTGGCTAAATGCTGACTGCGACTGAGGAAAACCACAATCATTGAGCTGTAAAGAATTATATAAGAAAAAAAACGTTATTGAAGTTTTTCGTGCTTAAAACAAGGCGAAATAACCGAAATAAAATAACCGTATCATTTACTGTGGAGTTTCATTACATCCGGCTGAACAGGGTACAGATGACCTGTTTTAAGTATGGGGCCCACCTTAGCTCGGATGCGATTCGAAATAGTATAGATGATCGTTTTCTGACATAACGATTTATTTTTTTAGATTTACAGGGATAATACTAGACTATTATTTAATTCCACAATAATACTTTTCTAGCATCCGGACAGATAATTGCGACGCAAAATAAAATTCAGTCTTTGAAGTTCTATATTGTGCAATGTGTTGCTTGTTTTTAACTTTAGCAGTAATGATCTTATCATCGGGAAAAGGTCAAAAAAGAGCCTTCCAAGTTGTTTCAAGAACAGAACAGCAATGAAGAATGTTGGCCTTGTTACCCCCAGAGAATATCTTTCGTCTACTTGATATAATAAACTTACATGAGGCTTTTGCAAACTATGCGATTTGTTTACGTTTAAAAATGGCCGCTCAATTTTGAATCGAAATACCAAATACGCGTTCTGTATTTTTCATGAGGTTTTGAAGCTTGAATTACTGCACCAAGGTATTACGATGAAGCTGTATAACGATTAGCGAAGTCGAAGATCATCGCTTTCGGGTAGCCAGGAAAGTTTAGGATTTTACGTGCAGTGCTTCCGTAAAAAAATTCTCAGCGTAACACTGTATTTAAAAACGGATCCTGGTTTTTTTCGTAATATAAATGGCTTTCTTTATAAAACTTTAATTATGACTCTAGCCGAACCATTAATTTAATCGGGAAATTTCACTTAAAAAACATATTTAGTTTTTCATATAAAGTTTCTAACCTAGGCAAAACTGCACTAGAGCATTATGCAGAAGCAGATATAAATACTTACATAAATACCATGATGAAATATTTGAGTACATATAAATAACATGAATACGAATACGATGTAACAGGAAATGCATACATTTAAGATATTACACATCGGAATCATGTAGGAAATATAAGAAGTTGTGTGCACTTCAGATCTACTATGTGGCAGGAGAACATTTACCAACAATTTCTGCAAAAGTGCGTTTGTCATTCAGGCTATCATGCAATATTTCGAATCATGGATTCGACAATTTGGTTTAAAGTCTGCTTCAAAAAATAATTCTGATTACGCCAATGAAAAATAAAAAGTTGATGTATTATGCACGATAAACATCAGATAAGATACGACACGTTGGCAAAGGAAATTTTGTGCAGGCAGTTCCAGGTGATGTTCATAGAAGTATTAAGTGAAAATGATGATTAAGTGTATTTTGTGACTTTACGACTATACGCGAGTTGTGATAACAGGTTTACGTTTTAAGCGAAGCCAACCCTGAAATAAAGGGAACGAGCATTTTCTAACATAATGATTATTTTAATTTGTTAAGTTCACAAAGATTAACCGAGAAGAATCCTATAATATATTTACAAGCCTCCATACTTATAACTTATAACTCAAGTAAGATTCAACCTATCAACCCCTGTGTTACGCTATGGGCTGACCGCTTTGACACAAGGAAAATAACTTCTGTTCTATTGATATTTTTTTGCTAGGAATCGACGACATAGCTTTATTTTAAAATACCTTTCTAAAACTTATACAATGATATTTACAACTAGAGTATATAATTTCAGCAAATCTTCAAAACATTAGGCTATGGGCTACTCCAGCGACTTTGAGAAGTTTAGCTATATCAGAGGTTTCAATGGGAATTCAGAACAATGAATATTCCCCTCAACATTATAGGTTCGATTGACTCCTAATGAAACGCCTTTCCCCGATTTCGGGTAACTATAACTCAACCTCTACGGATATGGCCGTATCTAGCAAAAAATAGTTGAGGTTGAAAAAGCTTAAATTTACCCGCCAACATACACCCTGCACTAAAGTCGTCTGTTGCAGTTTAGGAGTCGTCTGCCGATTTAAGATGGCGGGTGAGTGGTAAAGGCAAATTATTATTACTATTTAGGGGTTCTAAAAGTGTCGCAGTGTCTAATAATAGAGCCCTGACTGAGCCGTCGTCGTCACCCAATGCATGTGTCTATCGTGCCTGCCTTTTTATTTTATCCGTATGCGTGCTATTTGTTAAAAGAATAAGTGGTATAGTAGTGGCTGGTGGCCAGTAAGTAACGTGCAATTTCGACAAACTGGAGAATATGTGAAGCCGGTTTCAATGGTGTTATATTACGAGCACAATATGTGCGCCAAATATACACTCTCCGTGACAGTAGATCGCCAGCCATCAATGACTAGTACGTAAGAAGTTCATTATATAATCTATTGCCTTATTTCCTTGCTAGCGCAATTTCTAACAGACTAGTTTTTTTAATTGCATTCGAATATTGTGCTGAAGGTGAGAAGAATTTGTGGCATACATATGTATGAAAAAGGCAACGCAATGTACATTACTTTCGGGGTGTCTGAATGTATAAATGAAGTGACAATGTTGAGCTTGGTTAAAGTAATTGTCATTATTTTGTTCTGAAAAAGATTAATTTATAAAATAATAGTTAAAAACGTTTATCACTTCTGCTTAGTGGAATTGCTAAGTGATAACAGCAGAGACATTAAACAGTGGGTCCTTTGATCCAAATCTTACAGACTAAAGCAGTACTGATGTTTAAAAATTGTTCACTGAGGTTATTTCAATGGATTTGTTAAATAATCCTAGTCCCTTCTCGACACCCACAGTTAAACCACATTTAATAAAATTCATCAGGGACGTTTTAGGGAGGGGTTAATCACCCGAAGCTCTTTTTCCTTTTTCCTACACTTTTATTCTGAGCTGCATTCAGGTTCTTTGATTCTTTAACTATACTTAAATGAAGATGTGTCTGTGTGAACAAAACTCGTCCTATGATCGTTAGTATCGGTGTGGTTGTTTTGTCTCCTTGCCACACCAAAGTGGTGATTGACTTCGCCAAATAATGGATTTTTAAGTGCAGTTAACCAGTTAAATGCTCAGCAGATATGATTAAAAAGCATTAGATATATATCATTGTCTATCTTTTCCACTCCAAATATTCATGGAACATTTATATGCATAGTATTGACACCAATAAATCTTCACAGCACATGGTCAAGATGGCCTTGGCGAGAAACGATAAAGGAAAAAGCTTGCACAAAAAGGCTAGATTTTATTATAGCATCTTAGCATTCCTATAATATTTCCATTTTGTGAAATCTCCAAATGTTCCATGTTTGTGATTTACTGTTCTATATTGTACCTTTCGACATTTTACTAAACACCTTATGCTTTATGCATTCAATGTCAGCTCAATCATTATCATCGCGAAATTCAATTGGTTTGCTCAGTTTAAGTAGAAATTATTTTCCTTAAATTATTTATATAAATCCATAGATTTGTTTAAAAGACCTGAATACAATACACTGATCGTTTAATGTGTGGAAGCCAAGTTCATCAATAAAAGACGGGATGAGCTCTAACTTAATTCTACAATGTTTAATACGATAGCTTTGTAATACATGTTTCATGAATCTACATAATGTAAACGATTTATTACATGTTTTACTTGTTTAAGTAAAATACCTACTAGATAATAATAATAATAATAAAAGGTAAAACAGAAGCCTTAATAGATTAATGGAACCATCGGGACTGACGTTAAAGTTTTACAGGTTGTATTTACTGAGATTGATGTCTAGTGAAGACTAAGCTAGCACAAACGTACTGTCCTATATGACAATATTGCTGGTATACAGATAGCTACTTACTGTTTCCATTGACAGATGACAGGGGATCGGAATTCTTTAACATGTTATATATCTACATCACGATGGATTGATAAGTCTAACAGTTTTGCTGTTGCGTCCGTTATTCTTTGTAAGATCCACATAAATCTAATGATTGAGTGTGTTGGATAAGATCTTTGGGAATTAATAGAAGTAAAGTGACATGTCTCTATCATATTATGGATTTTTTGGCCAACATGATTGACTCAGCCAAAGTAATGCTGAGTGAAGCGTGAAACTAATAGCGTAACTCCAACAACTTGCATTGCCGTGTGCTATAAAATCGATGTTTTTATAATTGTTTGTCAATCATGATTAAATTGTCGGTATTGAATCCTAAATTACAAAATTAAAAATTTCATAAATTATTTAATTAGTTTTGATTTTTGTAATTGCAGTGGCCATTGGTTCCTATTGGCGCTTCTGCTCTATTTCTGTCGATGCTGTGAGGGGCAGAAGCCAGCAAGTCTATCGACCCAAACATTGTCCACGTAGGTCATATTTCGAACGTCGGTGATAAACAAGTAAAAGTATAAAGATTATAATATCAAAGGTCTGGATGACTGGCCAGCTTCGATCGAAAAGTTGATCGATCGGAGCTGGCGACCCGTGAACGACTCAATGATGATGTCGCAGCATCGACCGCCGCGGGCGCCGCCTAAGCCTCTCGGCGGATCTCCGGGACCTCCGTTAGGAAACAGAAACTCCTCACAGCCATTGGAGACAGCAGCAGCGGCCGTACAACAACAAGCATCCTCGCTACTCACAGGTAATAACTAATTAAACAAAAAAAGATTGGCACTGTAAGGATTTCGGTGACATTAATACTATAACATCGGTATCAAGCGACTGACATCGCTCGACCTGAATGATAATGAGGTGCAGAATGTTACTGCATAGAACAACCTTAGTAAATATGTTTAAACCAACGAAATTGTAGCCGATCAAACTCACGGGCTTACCACTATGTGGCAAAATAAATAAATACTCAAAATTTTACGTTTCGTGCTAAGGTTAGGTATTGCTGCTAATCGCGCAGGTACTGTGGTAGTAATTTGTACTTTGTACGTCTGTAGGTTCTCGGTGTAATTTTTGGAAGTTTGAAATATCAACAAGGTATTCCCAAACGCAAGTTAATCCAAGTTTCCTCGTCAGGCTAAACTGCACGGATAATAGCTTACATGAGCGCCATTTTTAAGACTATTTTTGATGTATATAAATTTAGTTGCTTTAACGAAAGAAGGGGTAAATTGAGATGTTGTTGCTCTGTAAGGGCGGTTTCTAATTTGTATCCCAGAAAAAATATTATTTGGGGTGTAGTGCTAAAACCCTTATAAGTAGACACGGTACAGTTGCTTTTGAAAAGTAGGAAATGCATTCATCTGTATAGTCGATAAGAAAATGTTAAGTAAAAAAAAAAGTGAAATGTTGACGCTTTGGATTGACTTGGTTCAGAGCTTCAATGTTTATTCATTACTTAGAACACCAGAATAGGTAGTCCGTTCAGGACTGTAGCTGCTAAATCAATCCCATAAGAGTCAAATTTCCTGAAACTTAACTCTGTTTCTAGAAGTGATTTTATTTGTAGTACATTTCTGCTTGCGCTATAACGTTAGATTTGCCCGCGGATTTCGCTCCGCCATAACCTAGTATCTGATAGAAAATTCCCTGCTGGTAGAGGACTCCATATTGTTTGGTAGTGGTTAGCTTGCTTTCTGCAAGAATGAACGATGTGCGTGTTACAAACGAACACATAAATAGTGAATTTTTGGTAACATATTAAAGCGTAACTTGCTAGCTTTTTCCCGTACCCACTTCACGCTTTTGATGATGAGGACGAGAAGAACGACTTGTGGTCGTTGGTTAGCCCAAGACCTATTGCGTATTAAGCGATTTGGCAACTCTCTTTGCGACAACCTTTCTTCATAAGTTCAAAGGAATAACAACACCAGCCCTGTAATGGATCACGTTATGCAGTGCCAGGCACGTACATGAAGTTTTAGTATTAAAACAGAATACAATTTACGGGATTCTCTACGTGCCTGATCTAGCCGTTCTGCACGGCTTGGGTGATGAAAACGGCTTATTAGTCGGTGTGGCATGGTGGTATCCGTCTGTCGGCTGAATTGAGTCCTTTTTCACAGGCACTTCTTTCTGACTTTGCTTTGGAGCAACATCAGTTCCAAAGGAGTACATCATAACAGCTGCACAAGAATACATAGACATTGAGCTTTATTAACGTGTTCGGAGGTATTTAACAGGCCAAAAAATTTAAATTACATTTATACAGTATTATTGGACGACGTTTTGGTATGTATTCAAATTTTTCGCTGTCTACAACCGTAATATGATTAGATGTCAAAACAAGTTACTGTGAGTACCAAAGCTTTTGAATGAAGTAGATCACAGTCAATATGCTCAGTGTTGGCTCAATATAGGATTACCCAAAGCGCGTGTTAAAAAGACTGAAGTTAAAGAATAAAAACAATAATGGATTCCCCGTTTAAAAGTTGCCGGTACTGTAGTCAAAACATAAGTTATTCTGTGCCATTAATCAACAAAAGCATCAAGTTGAAGAGGAAACAACTTCGGTAATAATGTAGAGTATATTTAGGCGTGAGCTGATGCTCACACTAGTGATGAAAGTCATATGCATTTGTTACGAAATATTGCCGGAAAAGCAAACAGTCGATAATATCGGATATCTTGAATTTTTGAAAAGCCTTATGGATGCATGGCGCGGCAGCTGACTACACACGTGTGCGGTTACTCGACGACAGTGTACGACCTCATGGCTATATTTCAATCACTGCCTGGGGGTTAAGGAAGACAGCACCAGCTAACGCCTTCAGCCCTCTTATTCTCCAGACTATGTTCGGGTAATCCCGACCTTGGATGGTCTAAAGAGGGCTTCTGAAAAATGAATTTCCTTAAATAAGCCATTGACAACGAGATTAGATATGGTAATGTTAATCAACATATACACAGCTTTTGAGAAAGTGCCAAGTGTAAAAAAGTGGAGTACATATAGCACATACCAGCAATAGTTCTACTTTACATGGTTTAAGCCTTCGTTTTCCTATTAAGAGAAATAGCATTACCTGCGGCAAGTTGGCTTTATGGCAGCTAGGCGGGCAGATGGGCATACGTGAGAGGTTACTATTTTACAGATAGATAAACAGAAAAGCACAGTTCCAGCGCCCGATTAGCCCGTTTGACTACCCGGCCTATGTGGGTCTTTCGGCTTGATAGCGCAATGGCCGTGTCACCAGCCAATTCGACAAGCCACTCTTCATGAGCTCGTAGGAATGTTAATATTATTTTGATACAAGAAGATAGAGCCCAACCTACTTTCATAGTTCTCTACCCGTTTCGTCTCTTTTAGTGCACAGAGACCATGCTGGCTTGTATCTAGTCTACAACCTTCTTTCTGCGAAAAGCCTCGTAAATTATTTGCACTTTAGAGAGATGACGTTAATTCTTAAGTAGTTGGCGCTATAGACAGACATATAATGAAAACAGCCAAGCGGTCCATCTGTTTTTTTTAACACCTTTAGCTATTTCTCTTGTGCAACCGGATCTTGTAGCATCAAAGACTAGCTTGCAATATAAGATCTTGCCGGGGTAGAAGTTACTGGACTTATCTAGGGTTTCTCTAAAAAATTTCTACGACAGTATGCATAATCACTACTTGAAATTACATTAAAATTCGAATATAGATAATGTCAATACAACAGGTAAATAATGGCTATCTATAACTCCATTACAGTCACCCTACTGCAAAATCTCATTACTCTGTCGTAAGGACCTCATGCTCCTATTCGAATAATCTTTTTTGCAATTAACTCATTTTTCTCGCCTAATAATTAATTTCTCCCTGTGTGATCAATCAGTTCTTGTATTGCATGTAACCTACTATCTGAAAAATTCTCAATTTTCTTAAAAATACTCTACAAATTTTCAGCAACTTCCACAAAAAAATATCTATTCACGTTCCAATAGAAAAAGTAGGAGAACTTCTTTTACATTTATCATAAATGAAGAAATATCCAATATTTCTTATGTTTAATTAGGTGGCGGGTCTGTGTCATCATCATCGCTTCGGTGCCCTCCGGGCTGGACCCGATTTGTGAATCATCAAGGTCACGTTGTTTACCGAACAGCTCTTGGGCACGAGATTCATAACGCAAAGCAGCTCAGGTAAACAACTGATAGAAGCATAATAAACATATTTGTGGCAGGCTGATAATTAATTCTGAACTGGTAAAAAATGTGCGGATATAAACATTAGTCAGATACTGGTGTATCTGCGCGGTGAGATAATACTGAGAATTTAAAAGTCAAGCTGCATATGCGTTGAGTCCGGAGCTCCTCACATCCTAACACCAAAAATTTTAATGATTGTGACACTGTTAAAGCTAACACCTTGACTTCTGAACAATATTGTTGTATTTATATGACGGGGTTGACATGGTTATAAATAATTTGATGCAAAGTTAAATTCATATAAGCAGAGTCACATTAAAGGGATGTCCCGGATGTATTTTTAGTTGGAGGTGTATATACCTTACCTACAACATTTTTATTGCAGAGACTTTCTTCTTTCGGACGTGACATGCAAATGTGGATTACCTTGCCCGCTGATTATAGATAAATGGTTTGACTTTAGTTCACCTAACTCCAATGGTGAGCATTAGAGCGAACAATCGAGTAAATAATTTCTCATTCTGAGTTTAATTCTAAAAAACATCTCATACAAAATAACGTGAAGTTTATTATTCGCCTGTGATACACATTTTTGCTTAGAAAGAGGTGTCGCAACCTAAACACGACTATTTGGCTTGTATATTTATATGGATAATTGACGTCGTCAATAACTTCGATATAACCAGCTTTGTTTCGTAAAAGTTAAGTCGCCAGCTTACCAATTTTTAGCATGTAGTCGTTATTCATGTTTTCTTCTTTGTATGTCGAAAACCGTAACTTACACGCAAACAAATTCGATATAACAATTATGCTTTTTTGCAAGGACTCCTTGACATAAAAAATATCAGACTTCTCTGTTGGTTAACATGACTTTTAATGGCTTTTATCTTAGGCCATAACGGAGATCGTTAATAGTGATACGCGCATTCAAGCTTATGAAATATTTGTCATACGACGGTGAGCTTAAGCCAATTTACTCATGGGGCGACGCTTCCGAACTATGCAGGGAAACTGACTAAAATGTAATAAAAAACTGGAAAGACTGAATACAAAAAGGAAACGGATAATGCGAAACAAGCCATCTTGAGACTACTGGAAATATTAGCTACATGTAAATCTAATTCAGGAAAATTACTAAATATATTTGTTTTCTCTCTCACCCTAGGGGTGACGAGTTCAAGTGTGCTGGTGGCGGCCGCTGCTTCTGCCGCTGCTATGCCCTCCATGGACACCTCTTCAAGTGTCGCCGATACGGTGACGTCTTCTAACCTACAAAGCCCGCAGCTTGTACCCCCTCATGTACCACTGCCACGAGAATGTAAATATTATCTCAAATCTTACTTTCGACTAATTGTAAGACAAAAAAATTTTTCTTTGAAACAGTTTAAATAGCAAATCACTTTAAATTAATTAGACATGACCGTATATTAAATATGCGAAGTGAGTAGTACCATGCTGCTATCTTGTTACGTGTCACACTTTATGTATGTCTCTGAACCGTGTCATATGATTACCAGTAACTTTAGACGATGGTCGTCGCCAGCTCGACCGGCGAAAGGCACTGCCTAGCATAACAAGCACAGCTGCACACGGCATTCCGTCAATCGGAATGACTAGTGGAACCACTCGCAAGAAGGCTTCGGTACGGAGAGGGCCCTACGAGGGTCTACTTGTATCTCAACTGCTTGCTAAACAGAAAAGCAGTGTTAACGCCGTCTGTGCCAGTAGCTTAGAATGCTTTGGCCAAGCAGAAATGCACGCGCAACAGACAGCACGTAAGAACGCACACTCTAGCGCTGATGGTTTTGTTAAACAGAATTCCGTGTCTACTAGCTGCACTGGACTGGTACTTCATGAGCAGGTGAGTAACGAATATTTTATGAGTAGAATACATTGATTTTCTTGGAACTACGGTAGTACAGCACCATGAAAAATGCCTTCTGTCTGTCTGTAAGATTTCTTTTGTATTTTATTCGGAATCACGTTAAGCCACCTCACTGTAACTTCCTTAGGGATTCTCGTCTTGCAGAACTTGATCGCATTGGATAAAACAATACAGTTTTCTTTCTTGGAGCGAATATAATATTGGAAGGATGAAATAATGCAATATTTTAGTGGTTCAAGTATTCATGACGTCATACCTTAGCATAATTAAAAAAATAGTAGATATTTTGCGTAAACCATGTAAAAGAAAAGTTCTGGATCTGCTACAAAAAATGGTTGTCGATTTAGATTTGGAAAACCATTTACCACATGCTAACTTGTTTTAAAAGTCTAACAGTTCCCTGTCTAACTGCGTAGTTTTATGTTTAAGAACTTTCTGACTACTCCTGTTATGCCGAGGAACCCGGATATGCAGACGTCACAATCAACCATTACACCGGTGGTGACTGAAGCAAATGTTGAGTGTTTTTCGAGGTGTTTAACGGCAACAATGGCATATAACGAAAGCCATACTGCGACATCTACAGGTTTAATAACTGAAAAATTGGATCATGTATCCTCTCCTCCTTCCCAACACCGTCAACAGCATCCACATCTAATACAAACAGACGGAGCTGATAAAAAGGCTATGATCTTACCAAGCAACCTGGAGGTCAGGACACCAACTGAATCATTCATTTCTCGTTACAGAATCTTTTGTGATCACAGAGTTAACGTTCTGTCCGTAAAAATTAAAGCATATTTATTCCCGTCTCTATTTATTATTAAAAAAGAGCTAATGCCATACCACATATATGATGTATACTTTCTTTGAAAAGTTTTAGCTATTAATCCAATCAAAAGATACATCGGCAGCGCATATCGGTATGAAAATCTTAGACATGAAGCGTTCCAATCAACAGATTGGCACTGAGTGTTGAAGTGTAATATTTCAGCTGCAAACGGGAAGAGATCAACAACAACCTCTGCTGGCACAACGACAGCAGCAGCAGCAACCATTGCTTGTAGCAACTGTTGACGCTTCTCAAATCTACCAGCAACCTCTCCAGGTAAGAACAGGATCAGTAGCAGACAACCCAAGTATAGGCTTCATGTAAATTCTTCTAGACATAGATCTAAAATATATGCTATAGGCAAAATAGTCTGAACTCATTTTATAAAAGCTATTATCCTTAATGATTACTGTATGATTCATGATTACACTATACCAGTCATTTATTTTTATGGTGACAAAGTTTATATTAACAAAATTACTCGTTCTTTACGTTACTTTGATCGATAAGGTGTATTGTTCGCCGACTACTGGTCCAACTGCGCATGCCGGCACTGGCATCTTGCTTAGTCCTCAGCAAAGTGCTGAACTTGTATTGCAAAATAATATTAATAGCATTGGTAATATGAACAATCTAGCAGCTGCAGCTGCGAATATCAGCAGTCTGAATGGCCAAGCAGCAATGAATGGAATCGTCAACAGTATGATGCAGCACCATAATAATCACACGGTGAACGCCGTTAACCACTTGAACAATCTTAACGCCTCTGTGAGCAGTATCAGCAGTGCCCAGGTAAATTTATGTAATGAGTATTATTATTATTTGCAAAATTTTACCTAGCTTATACGCATTTAGTTTCATATAGTAATAAATCAATGATCAACATTCACGTTGACTTTACACAAGTACTCTGCGATCGGGCATAAGCGTTACAAAGACGCTTTGTGCATGTTATTGGAATTAAAAAAAGCAACAAATTACTGATTGCAGTTATCTCGTTCGTTGCAATATTTTTTAACCAGGTGCTACTATCAGCAAGCGCACCCCAGTTGCTGACGTACTCATCTGTCTTAAATCCCCTTCCTGTACCTAATTGCCCAACTGGAGTATCGCCCATTACAGTTTTGGGCGTATCCTCATCTATACCTCCAATAAGTATTGTCGGGGTTGGACCACCTCAACAGCTTCCTTTATCGCAAATGCCGCAACAAATGCACACCACTTTACAGTTACAAAACCATCCGCAACTGCTCAGTCCACCACAGACCACTGGCCCTCGACCAAATCAGACACAGGGTGAGTGATGAAGGTTATGTAGGGCTTTTGTATTATTCGCACTAACCATTTATGACAGCTAGTATCCAGGATTGTAATTTATTTTTCTATTTAATTCAATTTATTTTTTTAAATGTTATTAATTTGTTAATTCATTTAGTGACAACGGGAGGGACCATTGTAATGACAGCAGGGCCGTATTGTGGGCCACCTGTGGGATCCACAACGGTTAATACAGTAACCTTAGATGGAACGGCCACAGCGTCCGTAAACGTGAATGATTTTGGTCCGGGAGTAAGAAGAGTGCAGCACGCGCAGTGTTCACAGTATACACCACCGATGCCAGCAGGCACAACTCCAATAGTCCGCCAACAGCAGACACAACTAAATGGTATGCTCACATATACTAGTACCTTATGAAACATCAGATGACTTAATTAGAATCGTGAGCGTCAATAGCCTAATTTTAGTTTCTCCATTACTTTATTTACGTAGCGTGCAAATAATTAAGAATATTTGCATATCATAAGACCTGAAGAACATGCATATCGCCGCAATGGTTCTGCTGATCTCGCATGGTACAGCAAACTGCTGGCCCACACCCCGACACGATATAGTCAGGTTTCTTAACATCCATACAAATAGAAACTTAGCGAACTTGAAAAGAACCCTAAAGCGATCCAAAAAGGGTTGCCATCATCCGTCTCCAAGTTATGCAAGTAAATGTAAAATATTTCTTTACCGTTTTGAAACTTAGACATTTTCGACAAAATCCAACGCTTAAGGTCTATGCATAGCTGAAAAATAGTTTTACTTAAAAGTGTGCAAATTAAAATTCCAGACATATGAGAAATAAAAAGAGGTGAGCGAAAATGCATCGATCGCTTCCAAATGTTTATGATAGTAAGTTTTCAAACTGTTATGTAGCATCACTTCAAAAACTTTTCAAGAAAGAGATTGCAAATCATAGTGCTGTGCTAGCGTCAACTCTATGAAAAAAAATCCTTACATTGGCTGCCCGGAAGCACTTTTTTAAAATTATTACTATTATGTTTACTCATTTACTTTTCACTAGCTAGTCACACACATTGCTTATTAACTAAATGCTAAAGGTTAAAATCAATACATCTACTATTGTTTTTACACACATGTTTGTCTAACTTAGATTTGAATACCTATATTTCTTATTGACTTTTTCTTAAATTTTGTTCGCATTCTATGGCCCATATGTAACATTTTACTCCAATGTATGTTATATATAATTTACTGCAACAGCGCAACTGAAAAACCAGTGCAGTTATAGCTGTAAAAGGCCCTCCACAAACCTTATGGAGCTTGATAACAACATTGTACTTAGCGGCTCAAAATCTCAGTGCATCGCATAAAACATATGTCGTGTCAAAATAGCTGTTCTTAGCTAAATAATCAATTTTTAGACTGGTGATTGATCGGCGAGTTAACCATGAATCATCCTTTCACTCACTTTATACACGTCGGTGCCTGATTGTGTTTCTACTAGGCGGCGCTCTCTGTTCAGTGTCTCTTCCTCTCGCAGGTGATACAAGTCAGTCGGTGTCTACAGGTAGTAGTGATAGTGCAGAAAACTGCCCCCCATGTCCACCCACGTGTGCCACGGTCCAATTGTACAACGTTACTGCTCTCACTGGCGACGGAAGCGGCGGTATGGGAACGGTGTTACTACAAACGACTCCACAAGCGTCGGCTCCTGTCCCTGCAACATACGGTTCGGCACCGGTTCCATCAACATGCAGCGCCGTCGAATAGGCAGACAAGCAGTCATCACAATGAACAAGCCAGCAAACGGTAGAAGATGTCTGTTTAAATATTATGGATTATTTTAAAAAACTTTTTCTCTAATCCCTTCCCTAAAAAAACTACAAAATACAGTTGTGTGCATAGGAAAATAGCATGTAAATTAGCAAAAGATAACAGACAGGTAGAAAAACTCGAGTCCCATAGATTCGCAAAAGTCGCGACTCACAAAGTGTGATTATACATGTTTAATCCGCTTTATACAGTTATTTAATATTTGGCATCAGTTACTCGGTTGTTTCCATATGCATATTCATCACTTGCGCTAATCGCGGTTAGTTATTTACAAGCTATACTACCTCCATGGCATATCTAAAACTATACAAAAACGACATGTTATAGCTAGCGGCCGCGGCGAGTACACATTATACGAACACATTCATTACTGTCCATCCTAGCTGAATATATTTTGCTTAGGCTATCTAGGAAACCATCAAGTAGCCAGTGTACATTTTTCAGTCATATTACATTAATAATTTACTTAGTCTATCCACATCGTTGGTTTGTCATGCCGTCGTATGAGTTTATAGGTAACCGAAAGTTAACGAGCATTTTAAGCGATGTTATTAACTTGGAAGCGAGTGCTCACGCATTGGCTTTCCCGTACAGTGCAATGAATTAAGTGTGAAAAATGGACACCTAGCCATTGATTGCGAACTACTTGAACGCAACAGTACATGAAGTTGCGTAGTTTTAGTCGCACTCATCGTTGTTTCCACATGTAAATCAACGCTCTTTTATAGTACATACGTTCACAATATACATTGATAGTCGATGCGATGTTACAGTAACATAGATGTTTTATTGTCAGCTGATAGTCTTAAATGTATCAAGTGAACGCATAAATTAAGACTAACAAAATAATATCAAAAGGTAGCAGTTATAAGAGCAATACGAAAGCAAGCAGACAAGTACACGACCAGGTTGTTAAGATATTTTGTAATGATAATGGTGACAAACGACCGATCGATTAGTTAAGAAATCGATGATGACGAATAAGGTGGTGCATTTGGAATGAACCGTGTTATTTATGAAATAATGTATGACTGACATCAAATGACGGGTCAGCAGAAACGGTCAATGAGATCTTTTGGTTCTTCGCAAATACACACCAGATCACCGCATAATCGTCTTGACGCCGTACAGCATTCTAGAATTTTTTACTTCAGTTCCATTAACTGTTTGGCCAATGTTTTTGCAGCGTTTCGACGAGAATCTATTTCTTCAGCAACAACGATTTCCCTCACTTTTCTGTCTCTAAACATACACGTCTATGTTAATTCCACGTTTGAATTAAGGTCGATGTTAATTCATAAGCAAAAAAGTTCGGTTCTCTGGTGTGCGGCGTACTAAAGAGTGAGGATTCGAATGCACTGAATCTTAATACCATTGTTAAACGATGTCTGGACATAACGTTAAAGCCAGTTTATTTGGCATTCCAAAGAGGCGCAAGGTTTGGCTATCTCCTGGCGCGGTGACGCGGTAACACTAAACATTCTGCATTTGCGAGCGGTTTTGATACAATATTGAGCAGAGTAAATAGCCCAGTACTTGACTAAAGCCTTGAAAGATTTTACTAGCACACCTAAAGCTAAAATCATCGTGATAATTTTTTAGCAAAGGGTCGGCTAGGCATAACTAAGAAAAAGCTAGATTTTGAAGCTTTCATTCAGCGAATCTTAAAACTAGCCTACTATTTTAGGAAAGCTACTATTTCTGAAAGCGCAATCCTACTATAGCATTTGAACGAAACTCTTGGGTAGAACAGTGCTGCAATCAACACTGGCAGACCCATATAAGGGAGATAGCGAAAAGTCAGCGTTATGGCTACGTCACCAAAATAAAGGCACATCCTGACAACTAGATAATTCAAATGTGAATGTTCGGCTTGCAAGTTCATGCGTTGTTAAAGAGAAGAGTCCGCAGATTTAGTAGCCGCAATTGGAACCTGAAAATACACTGCAGTGTGCGTTCTCGGCATTGCAGGTACCACTTGTTTCAGTATATATAGACTATTAAAATAATAGTAATACGTGTAAGCTTCGAATATTTGTCTCGTCGCATGATGTATGATGTGCCGTGTAACTATTTGAGTGTCACGCTTTTTTTGAAAACCACGTCGGAAGACCATAACGTGTACAGGATAGTTACGTATTACATTTAGACCGTCGATTCAAGGTTGGGCGTTCAAGTTCATTGAATTCGATAGCTCAATAATTACGTTTTAATCATTATCGATAAACTGATTCTTAAAACGTATACAAAGTGTAATTTAACAAGTGATGTGCGGTTGCGTGGTTGTCATTTATAATAGTTAAGTTTGGGCTAGTTAGCGAATGTACAAGCTTCAGGTGGCACGATAATATCATCATCTATCATCTGACGCAAGCCGCTGTCAAGCCAGTGGAAGGAATGAAGCTGGAACAGGGTCTTACCGTCAACATAACTACTGTAAAGCCCACATTCACTAAAATTGAAAAAAACGCTTATTTCTGTACACGGAAAAAACTCCCAACTATCCTCAATTAAGTTTAAAGGGTAGCAAGTGACTGGATCTCGTTGAGCTGTATTATGGCAAGCTTAGGTGAGAAATCGCGCAAATCACTTTTCGAGCGGTTAGGTATTAGGACAAAGATAGAGTTCTTCAGTCATATAAGTGGACGTTAAAGTATATGATGATATAGTTTCTGAGTACGCCTCGGTGTCGGGTGCAATTTTTATCGAGCTTTTGTTGCGACTTAAGAAATATAGAACGCTGAGCTAGAGGGGTTAACAGTTATTTTTAGGCATGTATGTGGTATATGGTCACGAACAATTCATGATTCTATAAAATTCTTGGCTTTATACCGCTGAGTTGCATCACAGAGTCGGCTTGTAACTAAATATATTTGTAATTGGTGTTAGAGATGTTGTAGTCAAAACGTAAACCACCTTCTCGTCTTTTCGTATTTTGTCGAATCGTTGGGCACGTTGTAAATCATTCTAGGCGATTCATGCAATGGCTAAAAACGCAGTAGTAGATTTTTCAGATATATCTCTTGCCTGTAATAGACGTTAAATGGGCATCACAGTATACACTGTAAAATAGATATGTATAAACTGTATGTATGTGTACATGAAATATATACATATGCATAATATATCTGTAAATGAATGTGAGAAACTAGGCGAAATATATATATATATATATATATATATATATATATATATATATATATATATATAGGATGGTAGCTCTAAGTGTAGACCTGTTTTATTTTGCTTGTTTGTATGTCGCACCTTTTTAGCAGTAATCGTGAGTATATTGGTATGGTAAAATTTTTAAGTTTCGTTCAAATACATTACCAACAGTAAATCCACGATACTTAACCTTTAGAAAAAAAAAAAGAAAAAATCAAGGAATGCAATAAGGTGTTTAAAAAAAGCCGATTATTGAGGCGTATCTGGATGACTTTACAGAAGTCTCGAAATTCATCAAAATTGATTGTATCTATTTAAAATGCTCTAGCCCTTTCAGTGGTATCCTTATTGTGGACCTTCTGTTTTGACACATTCATATCTTTGTTGTAATTTTATTGTATAATGACCAGGAAAAACACAGGTTATCGACCTTTGCTCTTATTTCTAAAACAACCCTTCTGCCTTCTCCTTGATCAGTGTGCGGTTCAGTTTCAGAGTGAATAGACTTTTTACTAGTACAAATTATAGTGATATTCTGGTGGGACAAATCTTGCCAAAATGTGTAAGAGTATAGAGTTACCATCTCATACCGC